GCATTATTCGAAAATTGAAAAAATGAAAAGTAGCTTTGGCAAGTTGTATGGACGGGGTAACCGAGCTTGAGTTCGTCTTTTCGGTGGGTCAAGCAGATGTTCGGTTGGATTGAGGACTGCGCTGGAAGCTGGCCAATTCATACGGACAATCTCGACGTTTCTAAATATTCATTGACGATTCTATCATGGAGAGGACGCGCGTTATCATCCATAAAAATGAAATAGGTCCTAGGAATGGCGCAAAAGGTGCCACAAGCTTATCTAAAATGGTTGTTATATACCTGACTCTGTCATAGTACCACTATCCACAAGAACTATGTCAGTACGTGCATCGAAGCTTATACCAGAACAAACCATAACTGAGCCTCCTCGATAGTTTATTCTGTCGGCAATATTGCATTGTGTAAATCGTTCTTCTTGTCTTCTCCAGATTCTTTCGCGACCGTCTGGTAACCCCAAGCAAAACCTGTACTCATCCGAGAAGAAAACATTAGATACTCCATCTGCGTTACTCCAAGTCCAATTATCGTGTTCCCTTGCAAAAGCAAAGTCGAGCTATGCGGTGTTCCACGGATAGCAGTGGATGTAGGTTTGGTCTTCTGGATAATAAATTCGCTTCATGAAGTCGTCGACGAACTGTTCACATACGTAGACTCTCCACGTTTCGGACTTCATTTAGGTGATTTGCCAGATCAAATTGAAGTTAGATGTCTATTTCTTAAACACGAAGAAACCACAAATCGATCTTCGCGTGCGGATGTTGCTCTCCTACGACCTGATTCTAACCTTAGTGTAGTTGGCATTTTAAATGAACGGCCGAATGGCTATTTGAACAGTACAACAACTAACACCTAGCAACTGGGCAGCATAATATTAGCTATGACCATCTTGTACTAAAGCCACAAATCTTGTGACATTCGTTGGTGTTAACGTCATTTTAATACAACTAAAAATTATGAACTCAAATTGGTCTGGTTGTTAAAATCAGTACAATAACAAATAATTTATTTCTTGCTACTTATCGAAATTTTTGATAAAAACATAAATTCCTATTATTTATAAGAAATGCTATAAAAAAATTGAAAAATAATGTATAGAAATCATGGACGTATAAATAAACTCCATGATAAAAATTAATAATTGTACTTAAACGAGTGTTTTTCTAAATTTATATGTGCCATAAAACAGGTCCTAAGTTTTAAAACTAGCAATAAATAAGAAGTATGTCATGGATCGAAGGTTTGCACCTGAATATACATAAAAAAGTGTGTGATGACAAAACATTTGGCATTGCACACTTTACACATTATTTTCTTTCTTCTTTTTGTTTAACTTAACCCACACTAACCACTTTCTGTTACAGTACCCATTCACAAACGATACGCCACGAATCATGGATAGAATAGTATAACCGCTTTCAGGTACCTACTCTTCAGATAAATCCAAAAGGACCAAGGACGTGAAAACTAAGCATTGAGGTCACGTACACTCGAAAAAATCTGACAATAGTTGGGCTCAATCAGATGGTGAAAAAGCAAACGTCTTTGCTGTACACTTTTTCTTTTTCTTCTAAAGGTGCCTATCTCTTAGTGATGTTGGCGACTACATTGACCTATCTTATTATATTCACTGCAGCTCGAAATAGATTAGTTGACGTTAGACCAATCCATTTCTCAAGATTGGTTAGCAAGGAATAACTCTATGTCTAGGACCTCTCTTGTCCTGAATCTTATTTGATTGAGGCAGGAAATTTACACATAATGTGACCAAAGCAAACCACTTTTCTGTTGTTTACGGTGTTTATGTAATTTCTTTGACTTTTCTTAGCCTCTAGAGAATAGTTAGGTTAGTTATGTGGTGTATGTATGAGACTCTTAACATACGTCGGTAGCACTACATTTTAAATGTCTAGAATTGTTTTATGGCATCTTCTGTAAGAGTCCAGTTTTCTACTCCGAAGAAGAGGACACTCAAGACATAACATCTAAGAATTCTTACGCGTATATTGATACTTAAAGATAAGTTGCAGAGAATCTTCGTAAGACCGTTAAAAGAGCTGGCTTTTTCAGTTTTTATTTCATAGCTATGATCCCAGGTATTCTTAATATTTCAGCCCAAAAGCATATCTGCCAGTAATATGGTATCGTCTGCATCTCTAATATTATTTATAAATTCGCCGTTTACTGCAATACCGTCTTTTAATGCATCCTAGGCTTCTCTAAAGATATTTTCAGAGTATATGTTAAATAATGCTAGTGACAGTGCATAACCCTGTCAAACTCCTTTTCCGAATGTGAAGATCTCGGACAGTTCATTTTCGAATCGCACTGTTGAGATTAGTCTTAGATCTTGAGATCTCGATTAGTTTCTCATGTGTTGCTTTGTCGAATGCCTTTTTGAAATCAATGAAACATGTATACACATCGCAGTTATGCTGCAATACAGAGAGTTGGCTCTTTGTATTAGAACTTGTAAACTGAAAAGTGCTTCGCTTGTACCGAGTCCTGCTGTGAATCCAAATTGAACTTCACTTAGTTGTTTTAATTTGGTGTATATGCGCAAGTGAATGATAGTAAGGAGTACTTTAGGTACAGGCTTATCAAACAAATTAATTTATGTTCTTTACATTTCGTCCTGTTCTTCTTCTTCTTTTTATGTAGACTTGACTCAATAAGTTGTCGTTCCATCGTTTTGGTGGTCTTCATATTGATCGTCTTCCTATTGGTAAACCGTCGCTTGCTGTCTTTACTACTCTACTTGTTGTCATTTGTCTTATATGATCGTTCCATTTTACTCTTTTATTTCATATCAAGTCCTTGATGTTCTCCACCTTGCATCTACGTCGTAAATCTGTACTTCTAGCTCTGTCCCATAGTGTTTTACCATCAATTTTTCCAAGTGTTTTCATTCCTGCTGTTTCTAACATTCTTTTTGTACTCCCTGTGTCAGGCTGTGTTTTTGCCGCGAATGCTATTATTGGTCTGATGACTATTTTGTAAATTCAACCTTTCATTTCTTTCCCGATATTTTTATTTTTCCATATTGCTTCATTTAGGCAACCAGCAGCTCTGTTTGCAATATTTACTTGATCTTTCACATCTGTTTCGAGCTTTCCAAACCTAGATAATGTGATGCCTAGATATTTAAACGCCATCACTTGTTCTATTATCTGATCTTCCAGCTCCAATATACATTTTAGTAAATTTGCTCTCGTGTTTTGTTTTTTCCATGTTTTTCTCCCATTTGATATCCTTTATTAGCTCTGTCTTATCCCATTGCCAATTTCAATAAGGATCTTCTTTTTTACTTTTATTGTGTTGTTTTGGTAGATATTTTTGATCATTTTAATTATTCCTAAAGGTATCTCTATTGCGTACAATAAATGGACCCAGTCAAATGCCTTCTTAAAGTCCACGAAAGATAGATATGCCAGTTTGTTGTATATTAATGATTTCTTTGGCCCTTGCTGCATAATAAATATAGCGTAAAACACTAGCAAAAACCTTGTTGTTCTTTTGCTAGTGTTACAATTTCATTCAGCATATTACATTCATATTGCATTTCCTAGCGGTGGTTTTTGGGAAATGAAATGAATATTGATAGTAACCAGTCTTTTGGTAAGTGACCAGTCTCCTATATGTTGTTGAATAGCTTCGGAAGAGCTGTGATTTGGTGTGCCTCTATTAGCTTAAAAATTTTACCATGTACTTCAGGCCTTGTTGATTTCCTGATCTTTAATTCGCTTAATGGCCATAGTTACTTTTTTGTTTGTTATTTCTGGGCCGTGGGGATTGTCTATTTGAGTCCGTCCTTTTCTGTATCTTCGAATAATTCTTGCATGTATTATTACTCCACTCTAACACTCCAACCGAACCCAACGGCTACGTTATTGATGATGAAGTAAAATTCTATTTAGATAGTCCTTATCCGATTTACTTACCAATGAGACTTCTCAAACCATGAAAAGTAAGAGAAGAAATAAAATGTATCGACCCACGTAAAGCCTCAGGATATGACCTCACTGCAGAAGAAATCTTAAAACAACTCACATGCAAAGGAGCACTTTTATAATAGCCTGTGTTACTATTCAATTTATTGAAAATTTGAGCAAATTATTCTTATCCCTAAACCAGGTAAGCCTCAAACAGAAATCACATCGCAACAACATTTACAGATTACACTGCAATACTCTTAGCTAATGTGAAGCCACTCCTGACACCTGAAGGCTTGCATAATAAAAGTTAACAGCGGCAAGTCTATTCAAATTACCTTTTACTCATTTTTTATTTATCATAAGGCGTAACAAATGTCTTCAAGTCCCCTTTAACAATACAGTAATTCCAATAAAAGCAGAACTAAAATATCTAGGACTTCACTAAGACTAAAAACTTACTTGGAGAGCACACTTCAAGGTCTTAAAAACTAGACAAATGAATTGGCTTATCACAAAACAGTCACAATTATCAATTGCTAGAAAAATAACTGGATATAAGGCAATTTTAAAGCCAATTTAAACATACAGTACTGAACTCTGCAGATGCACCAAGTCACCAAATACCAAACAATACAGTTTAAAACCTACGCACCATAATAAACGCACGTGGTCCATCTCCAACTTAGTACCTAATAGATGAATTTAAAAAAAAAAACCTATGCATTAATGACGAAATTCGACCACGAGGAGAAAAATGCAAAAATAGGATCATGAAAACCAATTAGTATTGTTGTAGTGTTGTTTACACCACGAGACGACAACTCCTAACACCTTTACTTGTTTTTTTTTATATATTTTATATTTTAAGGATTAGATTGTAAATTTGCGTTTAATAAAAAAATAAAAAAAATATTTCCTGTTTTGCAATCGTGCTGTTCTTTCAGCAGTTCAATTTTTTTTATTGTTTTTAAAGTGTTATTTATTTTCAATACTTTTTGTAGTCAAATCCAGATGTAAATTGCATTGTACTGTAATCAACAACTTAAAATTTTAACTTATTTTATAGCAACCTGAAAGCACAACACAAAAACTGACCTTAACCAAAGGTCGATCGACCAGAAATCAAAAATCCAAAATAAAATTTACACGAGACATCCTCGACTTGGCGACAACATTAGTGGATTTAATAAGCTTGTACTCGACTGTAGAACTTGATTTTAACCGTTCTCAACAACGTGAACGTGACTACGATGCATTGTTAATAATGTGTAAGTATTGACTATTTAAGGTGAAAAAGTAATAACGTGGTGATCTATTTGACTATTTAAATATCCTGTAAAAAATTCACTGGACAACGTAGACACATCACTATAGAATAGAGGTACTTATTAACGAATTTACCTTTACCTTTTAGATTCTGATTCGTTTCGAGCGATAATAAAACGGATAGTGGGAACGGACTTCATCACCCCACCAACGGCACAAGAAATCATAAGCTCTAATCACATGAAAGCAACCGCTAGAAGGTGGGAAAGGGGTTTAAGGACTGTGTATACTGTAAGTTGATATATATATATATATATATATATATATATATATATATATATATATATATATATATATATATACATTTATATACATTTATATATATATATATATATATATATATATATATATATATATATATATATATTGCTGCAAACCCAATATTTAAAGTTTACTTCCTTACGTTGTCAGCAAATACTTCTGTGGTTTATTATACATATATATATATATATATAATATATATATATATATATATATTATATATATATATTATTGTGATATTCAAAATTTTAGTGCGCCTAGCAATTAATTAGCTAATTAATTAATTAAAATTATTTAAATGATATGATTATGATTCTATCACACTTTAAAATTCTCTTATCTCAGGGTTATATTCGTGCTTCAATATCTATGCTTTACATGTGAAAGGTAAGGTCCAAAGAATACCGGAATAATAAAAAACACATATGATATAACATTATATATTGAAATAAAAATAATGAAATAACATTCACACTCAAATGTTTTCAATAAACAATATCTCATATAATTATTCTCAAAATTTTGTTCTACATACGTGAACCTTCAAAATTAATGGTACAAACAATATTAGTTAAAATCTCAAAATTCCAATTATTATTCTAAATCTCCTAATCAAAATATTTATATCTTTTCTAAAGTAATTGTACAAATTGTGTTATCAATAAAAGAAAAACTGCAGAAAAACAAAACTATCTCTCTATGATGATGAGTGGTCCAAATCCTTGTTCCTTGTAGCCTACACTAGCTATTCTTAGCAGCTCCCTAGGTAATCAGCAATCTTACAACAAATTGTTGCAAGTTTATCGTCCTTAATGATCTCCTTCAAATGCACGAATCGTTCAAATTATGCTAGCCTCTTCTCCTCTCGATAAACTGAATCTCTCGTTGGCCTGAGTGAAAAATAACTCTTGGAATATCTTCTCTTTACGATAAACTGAATCTCTCGTTGGCCTGAACAGTGACTCTTGGAATATAAGTAGAAAAATATGACTTACAATATTTTGCTGGATCAGCTTCTGTCAGATACACTAACTCCACAAAAACTCACTAACATTCAACACTACTGCTTGCTACCTCTCGGGAACCACCAGAGAACAATGACTGTTCGGCTTGCACACTTGGAAAACCAACTGACTGTGAACTTTGAAATATTTTAAGCAAACCAATATTTTTCTCGATTTTACATATCATAACAATATATATATATATATATATATATATATATATATATATATATATATATATATATATATATAGTGTAGGAAGAATTTTATGGTCGGTATGGACCTTACGTGAGATGGAGTGAGAAACAGCTGTTTAGAAAGAGAGAGGTATATTAGGTCCGCCCTTTATATCGCCAAACATGCATTCCTGGAAAGGGGGAGTTCAACGTTGCCAAACTTATTGGATTTATTTGACCTGTTGTTTTTTTTTGCATTTAAACAATGTTCTAAGATAATCCAATTTGGGCGAAATTGATTTAAATGGCAGCTTACTGTTTTTTTTATTGGGAATATGCCACAAGTTTACTTTACAATAAGTGTAATATAACATTTTGATTTCCACTTTGGAAATCGTTTTATATAAATAAAATTTATTAATGTTTCGTATTTTAAGTACGATTTCCGAATTAAAAATCTAAACATCAAAATAAGCTTATTTTAAAGTCACATTGTGCCTTATTCCCAATATGAAATAATAAACTGCATACAATAACAACACATTAAAAAATATTTATACACAATAATTTATTTGGCAACGTCGTCCGTCTGGTCAGAACACCGAGTAACGGGTAGTAGAGGTGGGTCGTGGTAATTTTATCGTTAAGAGCGTAGGCATAAAATTTCGAATTAATATTTTTTAAATGCATTCATTTTTTTCGAATCCTGATAAAACTAATAAATATTCTTGAAAAATTTAAACGCAGAATGAACCAATACATTATTACCGAGGGCCAAAAGTCCCTGAAAACTTCTATAATGTTTATTTTAATAAGTTATAAGGGCGAAAAAAAAATTAGTGTGATTTTTAATTTCAAATATCTCATTCAAAAAACTTTTTGTTTATTCTAAGGGACTTTCGGCCCTCGGTAATAATGTAATCTTTTATTCTGCATTTAAATTTTTTAAAAATTTTGTTAGTTTTCTCAGGATTCCAAAAAAAATGAATGAATTTAAAAATTTAAATTTTTGTAAACAAGTAACTATGATTGTTTAAAAGTAGTTTCAAGTAAGAGAGTACCTACATAAACAAACATAATGGCTATTATCGTTTATGTGTATATTTATTGAAGTGAAAGAAACTAATGATATATTTATTATAACTTGAAAAATAAACTAAACAATACAAATAGTAAATCGTGCTTACATTTACATTACACGTTATTATTAAATCGCGAATAGTCTAAATTGACATTAAAAAACATAAGTTTTTCTACTATACCTACTTCTTATTAACCGTCTTCTTTTTTTATTTCAAATTAAACCAAATTTTGAACATGTGTTCACATTTACAATACTGTATAAATATAGGGGTTAAGTTAGGATATACATGGCGATGGTTTTTCCACCGTTGTAATGGACTCTCAATACAGGTGTACGTGTAGATGAGCCATCTCCAATTAATTGATCAAATATACACCATGGATTTAAGTCATCTTTATTGGTTTCTTTTTCTTGTACTGGTTGATTTTCAATAGTACAATCTTCTTGTTCGTTAATTATAGAAGTAACCAGCTTCTTAACTTTTTCTTTTATTTTTTTATCTTCATTTTTATCAGAAAAACCCTGCACTTTAAATTGTGAATCCATAAATGTACATAATGACAATATGCCACTCTGTTCTATCCCTTTAAATATTTTTGCTAAACCCGATATTAGTAATTGTACTACGTCGGATACTATGGATGTAAGGTTACCGTTTGCTAAAATTTTCTTGCAAGATTCTTGCAGGCCGCGTACCATAACAATCACTGAACTACCCTTCAAGTATTTTTGGTCACTCATTGTACTTGTTATTTCTTTAAACGGCCGTAAAATTTGGGAAAGCTGAGAACAAATAATCCAGTGTTTTTTATTTAGATTTGGTCTAAGTCTAAGTCTGTATTATTTAATACCAATGTGGAACGGAAATACACGCCAGTACACCGAAAATATCAAAATACAGAGAGGAGTCCGCCAGGGTTGCGTGCTGTCCCCACTACTTTTCAATGTCTACAGTGATCGGTATTTTAAGAAGCGCTCTCAGACTCAATAGAAGGTATATCTATCAATGGAGAAGTTTTGAATAACTTACGTTTTGCAGACGATACAGTAATAATTACGGATAACAACAATGATTTACAGAACCTAATGCAACGCCTTAATGAACGCTGTCATGAGTACGGACTGAAGATAAATTTAAAGAAAACTAAATGCGTGATCATGACTAAATCTGCACAAATATCCAATTGACTATTGAAGATAATGCAATTAAGAGTGTTAATAACTATAAATACTTAGGAACATGGATAACATCAGATGTAGACCAAACCAAAGAAATTAAGACACGTATTGAAATAGCACGTACATCATTTATTAAACTTAAAAAGTTTCTTTGTTGTCGGGATATAAGGTTAGAACTACGCCTGAGAATGCTTCGATGTTACGTGTTCTCTACTCTTCTTTATGGTCTGAAAGCTTGGACACTAAAACAAGTTCATCTGAATAAGTTGGCCGCCTTTGAATTTTGGTGTTACAGAAGAATCCTACGAATATCATGGATTCAAAAAATGTCAAACATTGAAGTAACTAGAAGGATAGGAAATGAGGCAGAAATAATATTAACTATTAAAAGACGAAAACTTGAGTACTTGGGACATGTGATGAGAGGGCAAAAATACGCATTATTACAACTTATTATGCAGGGCAAAATCCGAGAAAAGCGAAATGTGGGAAGACGAAGAATATCCTGGCTTAAGAACTTAAGGGAATGGTTTGAATGCAGTAGTGCAGACCTTTTTAGAGCGGCAGTCAACAGAGTCGGCATAGCCATGATGATTTCCAACCTTCGATAGAAGATGGAACTTAAAGAAGAAGAAGTGAAACGGATTGCCTCTTCTAACTCAGTCATTCTTTTTAACCTGTAATAGGTGAAGTTCTACCTAGTTTCCACGTCTTGGATTGGCCGTTTGGGAACTTTGTTATGTTGTAATTAATACTTTAAAAGCCTTTCTGAAGATAAGGTACTTTTTTTTAATGTTTTTTGCAGAATTGTCGAAAAAAGGACTTTTTATTTTATCTATTATCAAATCAGTTTTGACATAACATTCCTGAAGTAATGAATCTAACAGTTGTTCTTGTTGGTGGTTTATATCCAGGAATCCACCCTGCAAACTTTTTAAAAGCTGGTTCTTCACCTATAGAAAACGGATGAAACGAGTCTTTGCATAAGTTTAGTAAATCAATAAGTTTAGTCAAGAAAAAGAAACTGATAAAGATGACTTAAGTCCATTGTGTATTTTTGATGAATTAATTGGACATGACTCATCTAAACATACAACTGTATCGAGAGATATACAAGAAGTCGACATGTATTTGTCTGATAATATATTACCCACAATAAATTTCGAACGGAGATTGGAACTGTCCATAACCGTGGTGGAAAAACCATCGCCATGTATATCCTAACTTAGCCACTATATTCATAAAATATTGTAGAATTGTAACAAAATCTTTTCCTTGTGAACACATGTTTAAAATCTGGTTTAATTTTAAATAAAAGAAGAACACGGTTAACAAGAAAAGTAGAAAAACTTGTTTTTAAATGTCAATTTAGACGATTCGCGATTTAATAATAACGTGTAATGTAAATGTAATTACGATTTAATGTAAATGTAAGTACTATTTGTATTGTTTAATTTATTTTTCAAGTTATAATAAATATATCCTTCGTTAGGTTCTTTCACTTCAATACTTATACACATAAACGAT